GAAGCTCATCCAAAGAAGGTCCACCTACAGGGGGTGTAGAGGGTGGGCTCAAAGTCTTTGAATTATTGCTCGGGTCCTCTTTGGATTTAACATCCAGTGGACTACACTTGCAACATGAACCAAGCAGAGGTGTCAGTTGTGTAGGGCTAGTTGCATCATCCTGCAACTGGGCTAAAGGGTATGAATGCTCTGATCCTTCAGAGATGACTTTCGAGGAGGCTGCTGACTGTAATGGGGGATATGCACCTACTTCACTAACAGAGGACACTACAGGTGTTATTTCCTCCATGCTAGTGGCTTCAGTATCAGCCCGGGCCTGCTTGGAATTCAAATGTCCTGTATGTATTTCATCTTGTTTATCATCAATGGACAAAATGCTTTCACAGTGCTGTACAATTAAGTCCCTTTTCTCCTCTACACTGTGAATCTCTTCTTCTAAATGTTTAATGAATAGTGAGTCAATAAAAAGTTCACTACTTGGTCCAGAATTTCTCACAAAAGCAGGTTTCTCTTCTTGCAATGTCTGTCTTTCTTCCGTCCTATTTATTGCAATGGATTTGTCCACAGCATATGAATGGTTCTCCTGAACGGACTGCAGTACAATGTCAGCATGCTTGTCCAATGGAAACCTGGCTAGGTTGGATGGCATTTCTGGCTCAACTTGGACTTGAGTTCCAGAACAAGTTGAAAGTGACAAGGATTGATCGCCCTCTTGTACTTTAGACTCACATTTTTCTAAGGAGCTTTCTCTATGGTCTGATATTACAGAGACCTGTGATTCCATAACAGTTGTTAATGAAGTAGCAGAGGATTCAGCACATGAAAAATACAGTGAATTAGATCCATTTGTTGAGATCTCATCTGGGGGTCCAATGAGATTACAATCATTTTCTTGGTGATATGTTGTAGACAACTTCTCCCTTAAAATTATGTGACCAAAAGGTTCAGGAGGTGTTGATACTGAAGATTCTTCTGCAACAAAACAATAGGCAACATTTTAAAATAATGAGTAGAATAATATCACACAAGATCATAATTGAATTATATATGGATTATGAACTCACCCGTGGGCTGATTTAGGATCCTTATATCCCCCTGGTGTAGCTGTACTTGCCGAGACTTGGGTGAAGTGCTCCCTTTTCCCTCCACTGACCATGCTGCCCTACTCACTCGTGTTTTCTTCTGGTGTAGTGGTACTTTCATGCTGCTTGCTTTTGCTGTGTACATGCGTGCAAGCATTTGCACTTTATTAAGAATCTTTTCTGAGTTTTCTACCAAGCATTGATTGACTGGTCCACCATCAAAAAAAACTAAATCTGGTACCTCTTCCATTCCTTCATAAAGGGTACGACTACACGTTACCACCTTGCCATGACGAGACCATCGGCCAACTTTAATCTGACTGGGAAGGCTATCCAGGTTTCCATGAGAGGACATGCTAGCTCTTGTTCTACTTCCATATTGAAAAGATGTATCCGCTGTCTCTTTCGTCTGCAGATTAGATGTGTCTGAAGTGTCTGGATCGCATTGTGAATGATCATGTTTATGCTGCTTGTTTTCCTCAGAAGCAACTGTATCTTCACCACAGCTCTTTTCCTTTGAGAAAGGGACTTTCAGAGATTCTTGGCCAGTTCTTTCTTTCTCCTTCCAGAGTTCCATACAGGGACTGAACTCACAAATATCTTCATCTTTTTTATCTGCAGTCTTGTTGTTTAATAATTCTTTTTGTTCTTGGATAACATCTGAATGTGCAAGAGAAATGGCTGTATCAGCAGATTCCTCATGGCTGAAATTCTGGTCAACTTGGTCTGATGTTGGGAGTAATGAAGATGCTGCGTCAGTTTCAACACAGTCTGAGCGGCTACTCTCAGGCTCAAGTAGACTGTCTTGGCGAACACAAACATTTAATCGAGACACCGAATCTTTCACTAATCCAGCAGGAATATGAGAGATGCTGTTTCTTCGGGCTGTCTGACCCTCCTCGACACCTGCCTCCGCTGCCTCATAATAGCTGCGTATCTTCTCAATAATTTGCTTGTCACTTTTGGTTAGTTTTTGCTCAGGTTCTGCTTTGGGGACAAGAGAGCTGTCAGTTGCTTTTAATGCAGTAGCAATGTGAGCACAAGCTGACTTAGCCGCACATGCTGTGTCATCAGTGGTTTTGTCCAAATTGTCAGATAAATGAGGTTCTGCACTTTTACTAACAGTGTCTTTTTCCCCCTTTTCACCTGTGACCTTCACCATTTCTGGTTTTGATGATTCACTATGACTGGGCTCTGGTAATGTCAACTCTCCTGATTGATTCACTTCTTTGGAGGTCTGCAATAGTGATGATGCTTCCTCAAGCTCCTCTGGTGGAGCAACATTTGCTTCACATGATGGATGGCTGTCCTCGTCTTTGTCTGACCCATATACCAGCGTTTCTTCTGCCTCTGATCTTTTGGTATCGTTGGTCTGATGTTTATTTTCATCCACCTCAGCTATTAGTGGTTTGGATTCATCTAGCTGCTGTGGCTCTGATGGCTGGACTTCCGGGGACTCTGGAGTCAACTGGCACAGTGGAAAACAAAAAATGAGCAAAATGCCATTTTCTTATGACTAGAAGCTTACATTAACAGCATTATTACTACAAAGTCACTGATGTCAATGTGTATACCAATAGCAATGAAGCATTGTGTTGAGTTACTACAGCAATTACTGTCTTGGCATATTGTTTTAGGTGTCAAAATGTGCTATATGTACCACTTCAGATGTTAACTCCGCCATGCCTTGTCGAGCACGGCTCTCATTAATGAACTGCATGATTTCCTCAGTAATGGACAGTGTTGGTGGTGGAGCGAGTGGGGTCATGTCATCCTCGTCCTGACATAAAGCCAGATCATCACGGCCAGATTCAACTTCAATGACAGAGGATGCCAGAGTACTGGTACTGCCTGAAGAGCCCATGCTATCAGCCTGTGGGCACAACTCCCCTTCACTGCCAGCCTGAAAACCCATTAAATTGACAGAAGCATAGATATACAAAAATTTAAATCATGTAATTTTGGACCTTAGAACAACATTTTATCACAGCTGTGATACAAAAAGTATAAACAAAACCTATTGCTACAAGGTTGCATTACGTTGCAAAAATGATAGAATTAAGGCTGTATGTTATATAAATGTTTAATGTAAGAAAGTAAAATCCTCTCACACCTTTAAAGAACCTGGATTCCATGAGCAGTGAAGCCATGGCAGATTGGAAAAAGAAAAATAGAAACAAAAATGATTTATTTTTTAAAGTGGTTTCAAATGTTTACTTTTTCACATACACTTTCAAAATAATATCATTACTGATGAAAGAACAACAAGATAACAAACTTATAGAAAGTGAAAGAACTAAAGTCTACACTCACCACTTTGCTGGAACGCAACTTCAATATCTTTGGCAGGTGCTTGAGGCATATAAAGATTAGATTTTAGACTTTAAACTTTAGAAACTTTACAACTTTACAAGGATTTTAATTTGGTGCCAGCATCAATATGACTTAAACAACACTAAATAAATAAATAATAAACCTATAAAACAAATACAATAGAAAATACTGAAATATACTGAAATATAAAAAAAAAAAAAGCTAAATATTTTTAGAACTTAATCATTTGATGCCCGTTTTACAAATCTGAGATTAGATTATATTCACCAGACTGTCTCCTCCCACGCTTGTATGGCAGGCTACCCTCAAGGAGGAGTGGAAGGCTTTTCTTGGCTTTCTCAGGGGTGTAGATGAACTCTGGTGGCTCTGTCAGGAGTTATGAAGTTCACTTTTATGAGTATTTGAAATAGTGCGGTTTGGCATTTTAAGGTATTCTAATGAACACTACATGCCAGACCTGATTGCCTTCTTCCTCTGTGGTAGTTATGAACATCGTCCAGTCGTGGAGAAGACATTTGTTTTCTTATTGGCTCCTGATCAAACTGTGGGGCTGAGTGTGATACATAACATGAATACTCCACAGCAAGTCACACTCACTGCCACAAGCAACAGTTCAAAATTACAAGAATGCAAAGAATACTTACACTGACAGAAGTTGTCACCAAGAACCTGCCTTGCCTGGAAAACATGTTATAAATAGATATTTAGTGCTCTGGTGTCCATCTGTACACTATGTATAACTGAACTAGCTGAACACAAAATGTTGGTCAATTTTGACTGTACATTATCCTTGACACAATGATGCATAGTTTGACATAAAAAAACTCTTACTTTTTGGGGTAAGGATGCAGGATGGTTTTCCACTATCATCCTTTTGAGGTAATGTAGCCACAGCCGCTTCTCCTCCTGGTTTTTAGCCTACAGAGAAGTATAGTAAGGTTTTTAGATTCTCATTACCATCATTGCCTTTTTCATCACTTTTAACACAAAACAAGTAATGCAACTGCAAAGTGTTCCAGACAGTAATGAAGTTGCCTGTCTGATGTGCATTTTAAATATTTTACCTGAACAATGTGTTGCTGTTTTGGGATCGTTTGGTCAGACACCTTAAAACAGAGGGGATCCTTCATGTTTTCCACTAAGAGCAGATTACAGCACTTCAAAGATGAGAGGGAGAAAGAGAAAAACATGAGTTTTGCATATCATAAATCCTTTAAGTAAAATGCTACACTCCAACTGTAGATATATAGTAGATTTAGAACTGAAATCTGATCACAAATGATGATGACTTACAAAGATGTGAGTGCTGTATATGAAATGATCCAGCCTCTTCTTGGCAATGAGAAGCATTTTGTCAAAAAGAAAGAATGCTCTTTCCTTTTTCACACGCTGAACTCGGAAGGAGCCTTCAAGTACCAGCTCTCCAAAACCACTGAGATCAGGCCCAGTCCAGTTCAGCAACAAGCTCTCAATCTCCTATAAAAAGAAGTAACGTTTGCATTTGCAACAGAATTAATTGCAGAGTTACAGAATATTTGATTCTGTAAAAAGTCATAGGGAGCATTTGATGGCTGCGATTACCTGCAGTCTGACTGCATGTTCCTGTTTCCTCTTCATGTCATTGATGTACCAGGCAACTGCTGTCATGGTTATAATGGCATCTTCCACCACCTCATACCCAGGATCACTTTTATCAAAGTGTTTGGATAGTTCCTACCACAAGGGGGCGACAACAGATCAGCTGTACAGTCTGACAAGTGTTACGCATCTGTTTTCAAGTTTACTAGCATGGCCCCATTTGCCCCTGCTAGCAGATGCCATAGCTACACCATCTTCCAGCAAAAAACATATCATTTTGAAAAAAAAAAAAAAGGATCAGATTTAAGGCACTGTACTCCACTGACCTGCAGCAGGAGGTGGTATTTAAGAATCCTTTGCACCGGTTTTAGCAGGTAAGTCTCCAGAGGCAATGAGTGACACAGAGTGGCCTGCCTTTCCTGGAAGAAGCGCACCAGGCTCTCGTTCTTCATGCAGTCCCGCAGGACTGTTACTGAGCTGGACGGAAACAGGGAGGAAGACATTTAAGCAGGGTGGTCTACTGGGAGACTCATCAGTTTGGCAGCTTTGCCTGACAGCACTTCATCTTATCCTAAAGCCTGCAGTAATGCATTCAGCTGGTGGCTGTGTAAACCTACAAATGCACTTACAAAACACTCAGTCTCCGAATATTAAATGCAACTCAGAAATATTTGTTTTTGTGCGACCTCCTGTTTCGTACATTTTCATACAATGTTTTTTGTTTTTGTTTCACCACCATTAGTTACATATATATTGTGTACTGCCTTATAACATTTATAATAAAATACTTAATAAAAATACTTTATAATAAATATTCTTTTAAGAATCTGAGTAACTGCAGAGTTATTTGCATTAATATGCAACAGCTAATTCTCTAAAGGTGGATCAGAATCAGCTCTAGCAGAACATCTGCTGCTGCTGTACCAGAGGCCCATGGGAATACTAAGAGAGGGGCTGAAAAGTATTTCCAAGTAGTCATCACCCAGGCATGTTTGCCTCTGATATGTCTAATTTTTCTACTAGACATATAGCTAACACTGACCAATTAAAACCACATGACATTCATCAAAAATATCTTACATGACTATACATCACATGATTCTAATTATGTTGTCCACAAAAATGCCACATACTTTTATCATTATGCAACAGAGTTTTCAGGGATACATGTGGAGCAATTAAGGTTTTTAACTATTTCGTCAGTTCAAAATGCTATATATACAGTTAAAATAAGTTTTAAATATACATTTAATCAATTGTCATTTGTTTTGTGTCTCTTATGCTCAACAAGGTTGTATTTATTTGATCAAAAATAAAGTGAAAACTGTAATACACTCTTAAAAATAAAGGTGCTTAAAAGGTTCTTCACAGCGATGCCATAGAAGAACCATTTTTGGTTCCACAAAGAACCATTCAGTCAAAGGTTCTTTAAAGAACCATCTCTTTCTTACCTTTTTATAATCTGAAGAACCTTTCGCCACAAAGAACCTTTTGTGAAACAGAAAGGTTCTTCAGATGTTAAAGGTTCTTTATGGAACCATTTAGACTCTTCTATGGCATCGTGAAGCACTTTTATTTTTAAGAGTGTACTGTGAAATATTATTGCATTTCCATTTGAATATATCTCAAAATGTAATTTATTCCTGTGATGGCAAAGCTGAATTTTCAGCTTCATTACTCCAGGCTTCAGTTTTCTCATGATCCTTTAGAAATCATTCTAATATGCTGATTTGGTGCCCAAGAAACATTTCTAATTATTATCAAAGTTGAAAACTATGATACATTGTTTTTTTTCAGAAATACATTGAAATACATTATAAATGTCTTTACTGTCATTTTTGTTGAATGTTTTCTGAATAAAAGTATTCATTTATTCAACACACACACTCCAAACTTTTGAATGGTACTTTAATGATCATATCAGAGGAATAGAAATATTCTTCACTTACTTGGGGTAATTCATGCAGTATATGGTGTAAATGTCAAAAGCTTCACTCTAAAAAAAAAACAAAATCATAAATTGTTACAGTGACTTCAAAGATAATGCTTTCATTCTATGAACAAAAGTACACTACTAACTATGGACATCTAAAATATACAGAGAGTTCAGAGTTATGAAACCAGACAAAAATATAACAGACGAATAAAAATGGCACAATCTAGACTGGTATTCACTTGGCAGTATGTGGGAGATTTTTCCACTAAATGTTTGTGTACCAAAAACAGAAGCAGTACCAAAACAAGCCAATCAAGTAAACCCCATCATCTGCTCTGGCAATGGCCAATATTCCCAGATCTGACCAGATATGGGCAGCTCAGCAGATGCAGAGTTACAGTCGCTGAGTTACATCTGTACGAGCATGTAAACACATCTAATATGTTCTGCTCTATTTGGAGCCTGATATCTAGTCTAGAGGCACTGCTTGATTTGGAACAAGTTTTCTTTTTTTTGATGTTGCAGAGATTATGGGGAAAAACCTGACTTTGAGACAACATTAGAGAAGGTTCAATTGAGCTAAACCCTCAAAATAACCCACCGGTAATGGCTTAATCGAATGTACTCTCTGCTTCCTAGGCCAGCCCTAATTGATCCTAACAGTGGCCGTTTCAGCAGGAGGTAAACATTGGGTCTTGGTGCTTGAGATAGAGACACAGCCTCAGGCGATTTAAAGGTAAAGAATGATTTCCTTCTTTCAAACCATGAATCAAATCTTTGCAGAAAGAGCCGTGAGCACATTCGACCTCTCTAGCACGCCAAACAATGATGTCCTTGTCTGGTTCCCATCCCAGCCTGGTCTGCTCATTGTTGTGTCATTGTGGTGTGGAGACAAGAACGCCAAAAGTGTCTGCAAATGCACTTAGCTGACGTGTGCATGTGTTAAAAGTTCAATGCTGTTTGCTGATATGTTTAGGTTTCGTTTCACAGAGTCCATCTGTTTTTCTGGCCCAAATATATCTGTGTGCTTCTGCCATACTGCCAAGCGAGGGCCCCAAGATTAAAAAAATGTAACAAAACTGGATTTTCCTTAGACAACACTTCTAGAATGACGTGCATTAAAACACAAACTCCTTGTCTTGAGATACGTGCATTGTGTGGAAGGAACAGGAAGAAATGTATATTTTACTAAGTCATGTGCTTACCCTCTCCACAAAGCACTCTGCTATGGCTGCTGCATGTGGACTACGTTCCAGATCTTCTAAAAGCTCACTGTAAAAAACAAGAATCGAGTCAGTTTTGGTGCATGACACATGTATTCCTGCTCACATATTCTCACAAAAGCATTTGTAAGCTGACAAATTAATCGAGTGGCATATGAAGACCAGGTTTCTGACATGAGACTTGGACTATGTCTTTGTCTAAATGATGTTATTCCCTTTCTGAGGAAACATCTGGGACTGGAGTTTCAAGAGGACACTCTTGACTGGAACGGGCTCCAACTCCGGCCTGCGTTTCCAAACAGCATTCATTTCTTTTTTATCATTTAGACCAAACCATTGCTTAAATGCACACAGATGGGATACCTCTCATTTTGGCTCGATTTCCTCCAAACATACCCCAATATCCCCACAGTCAAAATTGAAAACCTTTCTGCAGTGCATTCTTCTAGTGGGGAAAAGTCTCATTTCAGGTAGTAAATCAATGGAAAACATCGATTTTGAATTATATTGGCTAGTAACAGTGTCTGGAATGCAATAAAGGAAGCTTGGGCTTGGTTTAGTGAAACAATCTCTATTGTAACTCAAACACAAGATGGAATCAAATGGATTTTCCCTCAAGTGTTATGAAGTTGATATGATCTCTTGTGGCCGGTGGGACTTTTTCGACCGAGGATGAGTGGTTTGACATTCCCTGACTGTATTTTGAAGGAAGGGTTGAACGAAAGAAATATGACGGCTCGACCAGGCACGCCATATTTCATTCAGTCCATTAGCGAAACTCCCAAGAGGCCCCCAAACCACCAGGCTCGTCAGTCTCAAGGGAAACCCTCCTTCTATATCGTGAAAGAAAACAACGTGACACTCTCTAAACACTATGGACTTTACTTCATGTGGCTGAGGGGAAAAGTTCGGAAGGAAACCGCAGCACTCCAGCCTTCATCATCCTCTCTTCCCCTCTGAAGACGAAATTCATTTAGTGGCTGACCTTTGTGGTAGGGGGACTTCACTGTGGTTATAAAGGAAATTGAATTGAGTTCATGCATGCTTTCTTGGATTGTCCAAAGAGCTTGGTGTTTGAGGTGCCTGTAGGGATGGGATGTTCCCGAACGATGACTTGATTGTCTTGAAAGGTGTGGCATAATAACAACACATAGTTCCGTCATTTGGAATTGTAAAACAATAAAGACGTTACTATCGATTCAAAGCCACAAGCATCTGCTTTCTAGTCCGAACTGTAGTAGATAAGTTGGATTCAATTAGATCTTGGCAAATCTTGTGAGGTTTTGGCCCCTTCACTCAAATCCCAGGAAAGTGTTGGCGGACCAATAGTTTGAGACTTGAAATATGTGTGTTACGTGCATGCTAAATACTTTCCCAGGTTCTTCTTTGCCAGATAAAGTACATACAAAAGTGTTTGCGGTATTACTTGAGGAAAAATTAGAAATTTAAGACATTAAGACACCAGATTGGTTCTTTGACCATGTCAGAATTGGCTACAAATCCATGTAGTACAACAAACTCCAATAAACACCAGCAAAAAAATGTATAAGTCCAACATATTTATTTTCATATGACCAAAAACAGGGAGTTACCTGCAAGATGCCCTGCATATAAAAAAAAAATGCGATTCCCTTTGTCCCATTCAGTCTTCACCTCACCCTTTCTGTTTTTTGGACTCGACTCATAAGTTGTCGTCTTGTCTCGATTCATACTCTCCTCCTCGTCTCATCCCTTTCTTTTGTCCTACTCCCACCATTCATCCATTAACATGGTGTGTATAACTCAAACAGAAGTTCGCTACATTACGATTCCTTTCATCTAACTCGTATTTCCCACAGCAGTCAAGCTTTTATTTTTGCTGGAGACACAGCATCATGGTGGGGGAAATTCACACAGTCATTCTTCTTTTTTATGCAATATACAAATCCTCAGGACAAATCTACACCCATTATTTCTCTCAAACGAGATCAAAGCAGACAGTGAGACAGTGGGGAGACACGAGGACAGTGAGATGTGTGCTTTAGGGAAAACCAGATTTGTCTTTATTAAGAAATGAACAGTGTCTGTCCGCAGTGTTAAGGTGTATTTGAATCCAAAATGAAGTAAATGCATGGTAAACTGACAGGCGTGATCCCGTATGAGCACACAAAAGAGGTAAAGGTTTTTGCGGTCTCACTTAATGGAGGAAATCTGTCTGGGCAAATAAAAGTGTATCTCAATGGTCCTGACTGAAATGGCACACTTGTGTACTTGCAACATAGGGTGTCCCATTTTTAGAAATCTTTTATTACCCATTAGTAAAACCTCGAAGTAACAAATTTCATTAAAATCATTAAAATCACAAAAAAAGATTTGGAAGCCTTTTGAAAATTCATTATAGAAAAAACTGAAAATGTGAAAAAAAATAACAAGTGAAAAAAATATTTATGCATACTTATATCATTAAAAATAAAATATGAAAATATTTTTAAAAAATTATTCTCAATGGTCCTGACTGAAATGGCACACTTGTGTACTTGCAACATAGGGTGTCCCATTTTTAGAAATCTTTTATTACCCATTAGTAAAACCTCGAAGTAACAAATTTCATTAAAATCATTAAAATCACAAAAAAAGATTTGGAAGCCTTTTGAAAATTCATTATAGAAAAAACTGAAAATGTGAAAAAAATAACAAGTGAAAAAAATATTTATGCATACTTATATCATTAAAAATAAAATATGAAAATATTTTTTTAAAATTATTATGTAATTATTATGAAAATGTATTATACATTTAAAAAAAATATATGACTGTCCCATGGTTGTGATGAAATGTTTTTTTTCTTACGTTAGTGTGCTTGGTTACCTAAGAGACAAACTTAAGATAAAATGTGACGTATAAAAAAAAAACTTTTGAGCAGAATATTTTTTTGTCATTTGAAATCAAGCTGTAATTTTTATCAAATTATGCAAATGCAAATGCTCACCAAGGCTGCATTTGTTTGATAAAAAAATATAATATTGTGAAAATGTATTACAATTTAAATAACTGTTTTCTATTTTAATATATTTTTATTACTGTGATGATAAAGCTGAATTTTAAGCAGCCAGTCTTCGGTCTTCAGTCTTCAGGGTCAAATGAGCCCTCAGAAATCACTGTAATATGCTTATTTTGGGCTCAAAAAACATTTATTATTATCAGTGTTCGAAACAGTTCTTCTTAATATTTTTGTGGAAATGGTGTTTTTTCAGGATTATTTTAATGAATAGAAAGTTCAAAGTTCAAGTACAAAAATACTACATTTATTTAAGAGACAAACTTAAGATAAAATGTGACGTATAAAAAAAAAACTTTTGAGCAGAATATTTTTTTGTCATTTGAAATCAAGCTGTAATTTTTATCAAATTATGCAAATGCAAATGCTCACCAAGGCTGCATTTGTTTGATAAAAAAATATAATATTGTGAAAATGTATTACAATTTAAATAACTGTTTTCTATTTTAATATATTTTTATTACTGTGATGATAAAGCTGAATTTTAAGCAGCCAGTCTTCGGTCTTCAGTCTTCAGGGTCAAATGAGCCCTCAGAAATCACTGTAATATGCTTATTTTGGGCTTAATAAACATTTATTATTATCAGTGTTCTTCTTAATATTTTTGTGGAAATGGTGTTTTTTCAGGATTATTTTAATGAATAGAAAGTTCAAAGTTCAAGTACAAAAATACTACATTTATTTAAAACTGAAATTTGTAACATCATAAATGTCTTTACTGTCATTTTGATCAATTTTATGTGTCCTTGCTGTTTTGAAAGTGTATATTTATTATGTATTTAGTATGGGATTTGTAACATCATAAATGTCTTTACTGTCATTTTGATCAATTTTATGTGTCCTTGCTGAATAAAAGTATTATTTTCTTTAAAAAAAACAGCTCAAAAACTTTGAACCCCAAAGTTTTGAAAGTGTATATTTATTATGTATTTAGTATGGCTTTAAAAAGGTCTATTCTGAAGAGTCACTGAGGACAATGTGCCATGTAGCTGACCCTGAAGTTTTAACACCCATTTAAGGCCATCAGAAAGGGGAAAAAACATAAGGGTGCGATTACAAATGCTAAAATAAACCTAGAACAATAAGAACTGATAATAAGGTTTTAAAAGAACTATTGCAAAACACAAGAATGAGTCAGCAGTGGAATGTTTTCATCACTGCAAAATAGAGAGGAGATTCCCAAGCCAGCAAAAACAGCCTGTTCTGTTGCAGTCGCTGCAAAAGACAAATGCAGCATTCCAGTGCAAAGGCACAATTTACAATGCTTCACTATAACTGGACAGATGTCTGTGGGAACAAAATAAGTCCTGTCTGCTGTCCCAGGATGCACTGCTCGCTTGGCTGCACCCTCACTCTCTGACAGGTCATGTGTGGCTCGTTCACCACAGGGGCCTGAGCTCTACCTCGGAGCCCGGCTGCTTTGGCTAAGAGGAACATGACATCTGTATGTGTCCTAAAGCTCTGACCGGTGCCAAGAAAGTAGACTCAACAGAATCAAGTCTGAATACAGGGGCTACATTCTACAGCAATGAGCAGAGGGCTTTTAAGAGTAAGAACAGACAAAGAGAGAGCCTTTGTGTGTTTAAACTATAAGAAAGAGGGGAAGAACAAGGTCAGTCATTCATTTTATATAGTCTTAACAACTACAGAGGCACTAGAGCTGATTTAAGGGGGTAGTTCACTCAGAAATGAAAATTCTGTCATCATTTACTCACCATCTTTGTCGTTACAAACCCACATGCTGTTATTCTTTCCCTGAACACAATCAAAGAAATATTGAATAATTTCCAACTCCCTGTTTTTCATAAACATGAAGCTTTGTGGGATGAACAGACCAAATTTCAGCCATTATTCATTCTCATATGATTTGAGGGCTGCATGCTGAGTTAAATGAATGATTTGAATTAATTTTAGAGTGACTTAAATTTCAGTCTATTAATCACGTAAATATAGCATATGGCTTCAGATGAATTGGAATATACAAACTACTGTTCAAAAGTTTGATATTTTTTTATACAAAGGAATTAATATTTTAATTCAACAAGGTCAATTAAAATAAAAAAATCAAAAGTGACAGTAAAGATATTTGAAAATATTTATATTTAAAAAATTTTTTTTTTTTTTTTTTTTACAAAGAAATAAATACTTTAATTCAACTGGGACACATTTATTTGATCATAAGTGACAGTAAAGATATTTACAATGTTACAAAAGATTTATAAATAAAAGTTGCTGTTCTTTTGAACGTTCTACTCATTAAAGAATTCTAAAAAAAAAAAAAAAAAACATTATCACGGTTTCCAAAATATTAAGCAGCACAACTGTTTTCAACATCGATAATAATAAGAAATGTTTTTAGGCTGCAAATCAGCATATCAATGATTTCTGATCATGTGATACTGAAGACTGGAGTAATGATGCTGAAATTTCAGCTTTGCCATCACAGGAATAAATTACATTTTTAAATATATTAAAAAAGAAAACAGTTATTTTAAATTGCGATAATATTTCACAATTTTACTGTTTTTACTGTAATTTTAATCACATAATTGCAGCCTTGGTGAGTATAAGACACTTTAAACACATAAGAAAAAAATTTAATCATTTAGAGGCAAATAAATAAGCTTACCGACCCCAAACTTTTTAAAAAGTAATGTAGTAATACAGTATGGACTGCTTATATGGTGCTTTTTTGTCATTTTTTGGAGCTTGACAGCCTGTGGATGCTACAAACTGTAAATTATGAAAGATCATTTATTTATAAGTGAACTATCCCTTTAAGAATGGTATTCCTAAAAACTAATAACTCATTCTACTCATTACATGCCAATATAATCTCAAGCAGAGGCCAAAAGCTGCTGCGATGGGAAGAAAACTCCTGCCATTTTATTAAAGGAAGTTATATTAAATAAGGTCATGAGGACACCCAAGAGTTTTTAAGATTTTCTGTTTGAAGCACAGCCAAGATCATTTCCCACAAGAGCTGGCAGTAAGGCGCCATGTTCAATTTCGAAACTGCCTAATGTCATTAGAGGGATGATGTGGAGTGGAGGTGAACCAAGAAAGAGAATTATGTAAAAACAGGATATGTGAGTGGCAAGTAGCAGCGACCCACCAACTAGAAACCTCTGGGCTAAACCATGCGTACGAGTCTGAAATAAACACTGAGTGTCATTTGCAATAAACAGTGTGAAACAGACACATAACAAGACTGACTAAATTGTTCGGTGGACCATGCATGAAGTCGCAATGTAATAAACCATATGCTGCATGTCTTTTAAAAAGAGCTTAAGTTATGACGACGGCTGAGAAAACGTCTCCTGAAGAGCATTCCAGATCAACTACAACAGTCCAGGGACAGTCTGCTGGAGTGCATCAGAAATGGCGTATACTCGCTCTTGGCAGACATCTGCACACTGTCCCTCATGGTGGGACAGACCAGGACCCAGGCCAGTCATTGTGTTTGAGACAAATTCAACAGACACCGCTGCCACCCAGACAGACATCAAGAATGAAGACACCCACCTGTTAAACTCATAGATGTCCTCGATGTTGCAGAAGAGGGTGCTGACCTCCTCGGGTTTGAGAGGCAAGTCGCCACAGTCAATAATGCAGCCAAGATAGTCCTGAGAGCGAGAAAGCGAGAAAATTGAGCGTGGATGACCTCACAGAAATCATACTAGGCATTTTCACACTTGAATTTGCTTTGCTTGTTAGTGATTCAGAAAACTCCTGTGAGACCTGTGAAATTGGTGAAGTACCTCTATTCCATTACATTTTCCCATTGCAAACACTGAGGTGATTCATAACTCATGGACTATAAAGACACTATAAATAGTTCCGACACAGCAGGACGTGACTCTCACCCCTGAATGATCTCTCTCGACACCAAGAATCGCTGTAATGTAATTACCATGGACGCCACACTTGAGCCCCTCAATGATCTTCAGAGTAAACATACAAAGCGGTGCAGGAAAGCAAAGCATGCAACTAATACAGTGGTTAAAAGGAGCCCCTCTAACAATATTTATCTTTTCTCTCTCTGCTCTTTCACCTCTGACCTCGAAAAAAGTCATAAGCTGGTCTCATGAGAAAACTGCCTGATCATCATGACACGTAAAATACTGGCAGGTTTGGGCCGCCTGCTGAGGAACAGAGAATCGGGGTCACCAACTTTCTCAGTTTTGAAGTGGTTGGTTAATACGGAGTTAAAGGGAAGCAGTTCCACTGGGTTAAAGTTTAAGGAAGATCTGGGTCACAGTGAGAAACGTAGGATGGAAGTGAAAAGAGCCAATACGAGACATCAAAATAATTCTGGTTTCAACAGTTTTGCCAAAAGACGTAAATGATATGCATGTTAACATGATTTTACTGTAATAAACTAACCTTTTCTGTATTACGCTATTGTTCATAAGAATCATTCATACAAAAATATAAAAAATATTACGCTTACTGACCATAAACTTTTGAACAGTAGTGTAACTTTATACAAAAAAAGTTAAGTGATTTCATCACTAAAAATCATAGTAAATGTCATCACAGTAAAAAAAAAAAAAATGTGACACTGAAGACTAAA